CAAAGGAAGAGGAAAAATATGGTCAGCAAATAATAAGGAGTATTAATGGAAAGAAGAATTAGGTTGGGAGTAAAAATGGAAAAAGTAAAGGAAATGTTTTCAGAAATAACCAGGCAGTCAGAATCATATTGTGCAGTATGCTCATTATGTTTATATATTTGTCTTTTCTCTCTCAAGCAAGCAGAGATATAGAAAATTAGAAAGGTTATCAATTGTTACAGTATGAAGCTAATTTTTTACATAGAAAAAAGAAACATTTTGTGTCTAACTCAATGTGTTTAAGCCAAAGTAAAAGCAACAATTAACACAAGAAATTATCTTCCAGATGGTAGGTAACATGCCTCTCCAGAAGATTCCAAGAATCAAATTTGTTGATCATTTTTATAGAGAAAGTTCTTGTTCAGCAACACAAAGATAGAAGAACAGCAAGCAATGCAGAAAACACACAAGCGTAGGAGAAGGCTTATAATATTGCACTTTTTTCTTTGAAGAGAATTGAACACAAAATACATGGTTAAATGGCAACTCTCTTAAAATATGGTTCATCATCAAATAAATGCAAAAAAATAAGTTTTTCAATTCTTTAAGAGAATTGCTCATTTTTTCCATCATATTCTACAAAATATCACAAAAGAATAGTTTTCAGATCTAGTTTGAACTATTTATTAAACCCTACAACACAATGTCTTTTAATGCACAAAATGGCAAAATCTGAATAACTTAATTTCCTAAATAAATAATGGCTCACACATTTTAATAGCAAATATGAATTAATGCAATCATGATTCAACATCCTCCTATTTTACCGAGACAAAACAATTACTTTAGCTCCACTTTTCTTAAAACTCTTGGATATATTGTATTTCAACAAATTGTACCGAACTGTGCCTTAACAATAGGTAAATGAATGCAAACCATTCTTGCATTCACATGTACTTTTGTGTTGATACATTGTGTGTATATGCAACAGATATTGTACTTACAGACAAAACAACATATCAAAGCCATAAAAAATTCTTCATCTTCATCACAAACTTTTAAGAATTAGGCCCAGTGGCCTAAACAAAACTAATTCTTTTACAACTTAAATTTTTAATTTTTTTCAGTGAAAAATGCATATTAATATACTGAATATGATCGTTAACTACTACTACTTCTCCAGTAAATAAATATACATATTGAAGTTTTCATTCTGTATAGATAAACAAGTGAATATTACTAACTTGATGGAAAATTAATCCAATCCGTACAACACAGTTCCTTCTCATAACATCGACAAAGATGATCACGTACAAAGTTGCCCAATATTATATTTACACAATTTATGCAGAAATTTCTTTCAAAGGCCCCATCAAAACAATCTGGGAATCAAGCTTTCTTATTATGAACATTATATTTCATTTTAGGATTTTAAATCATGATTCCATTAGTAAGAAAAGCAATGAGTTTGCATTCACATATGTACAAATACACCCTATTTTCATGCAATCTGTCTCTATTGAAAGCACTACTGAATGTTCACGTAAAGCGAAACAGTACACACTATCAACTACAAAGCTTTGAAATAGAGTGTATCAGCACATTTACATAAGCATTAATCACATTTAAAGCTATCTTCCACTTACATGGTTACAATGTCATGAATGATACAGATCAATTTCACAATGCAATACTTGTGACAAGACAGAACTAAACTAACTACTGATTCACCACACTTACCAAATTACAAAATGATTTCAATTATGCAACAAGTCTTCAAAGCAATATAGTCAAAGCTATCATTGAAATTTATTTCAATAATAAACAACCATGAGTGTGTTTCCAAAATATAGAAATATTGCATTGCAAGTAAACCTAGAGAGCTTTCCTCAATCTTTCTCACAAGTGCCAGCACCAAATAATTTCAGTCTAATATTTGGGAGAGTATTTCCCTGTTTACTGGCATGATACTATTGCTTAATGTTTCTTTCCACTAATACTTCACAACCAGAAATTTGCTTATTAACAAGATACGTAGTAACATAACCAATTTTAACTTTTCAGTAAAATCACAGAACTGCATCTATGTAGTTCATCACTTCTAATTATAGCTTTAATTCTTATTAATGAGTTTTGAGGTATATTCTTTTGTATTGCCATTATTTACCACGTAAACTATTAATAACTCAGCTCCTTTATAACCAGACTTGTTAAATTTCTTTAAAATTCAGCAGCTCAAGATGGTGGAATATGTACTGAAACATTAACTTAAAAAGCAGCTGAAAATATTGAATAAATTATTTTTCACTTTAAACATTTACATTACTTGTAAGAAAAGTTTCAAATAATAATTCATATCTTGAACAACTGAATTTCTTCATTAAATTTAGTTTTTATAAAGGGACAAACAAATTTCTAACTAATCAACAAGTGCATACAAAGATAATAAAGAATTCTTTGGTATAAAAATAATATTTCAGATCATTAGCAAGGGGTCTTCAACACGATAAAATACTTATTTCAGTTATCAAATCACAGATCAAGGTAAAAGAAACAAGGAAGATTTTCTTTTCTATAAACTATTAATTCATACAAAATATCAATAATTTGTGCAAATATCACTAACAAGCTTCAAACTGCAGGCACAAACTTGAATGCTTTTTGTCTTAATGATGGGTTTAAATTTTACGAAATATAAACTTAACTTCAACAATCCTTAAAATTATGCTGCTGGATCTGGAAATTTAATATTATTAGATGAATGTGGTTCTGTGATACAACTCAGACTTCTAATGCGTTTATGTGTTGACAAAATATTAATCAAGATAAGGAAATTCCTTCGCATGAATAGGTTATGTGGAATCCATCATAACTGTAAAATTCTTTCATATTATGCATCCTTGCATCCATATAAGTTGCGTGGTTAACTTTTCAAGAAAAGTGAACATAAAGTTTTATATCAAACAGTTCTTTATCTGAAATGAAGATGATTTCATTGAACATTACATGTTATTTTGAGAAATTATAATGAGAAAGGATTGAATGAAGATCATCTATACTTAATTCTAGAAAGTACAATTTCAATCCTTGCAATCTAACCGTGTTCCAATTTAATATGATATTCAAATTTGGTTAAGTTATAAAGTAATTTCTACTCAAAGTTCCCTTAATTAATTTAATAACAAAACACTGATCTGTTTCACCCAAATTCATGTCCAGCAACATAGTTCTGTAGTATCTGAAGAAGACTAATTTATCATTGACCTAAAAGTATGAGCTTCATTAAGAAAATAAATCACAACTACTTACTTAAGAAGAATCTACAAAATTACTCCTAAATATAACTAAGATGTCTCTAAACCTCATGGGTTTGTGCACACTATATCTTTTTATTCCTTTTGGTTTCTTATAACTTCTTTGGCTATCACATAAACTAATAGACTTTTTTATGCTATTTGGTAGTAGTACCAATTAATTTCAAGGCATTTCAATCTTCCAAACAGATCTCAACCTCAACTGTTTTGAGTTACATTTAACTTTCTTCACAAAAAGAAGAGCTCATTCTTTTTTAGGACACCGTTACCGGAACAAAGGTCAGGCAAAATAGAGTCAATTCACTGTACTACAAGATTGCAACATACCAAAGTTCAGATTGCATGTAGAAAGTATATTTAAGTCAAAATTTTACACAATAATTTTTAAAAATATCAAATACATTTGGAATGAACAGAATGGGAAGGGGGGGGGGAGGATTTGAATTTTTTTTTTTTTTGCAAAACTATCAAGAAATTAAGTTTGAAGTAAAGAACAAATTATAATTTAAGAAAATTCCATTTGACACCAGCTCAATTATATTAATATACTAATAAAATATCATAATTAGTTAAAAGCTTCAAAATGTCAAATCTGAAAAATGAATGAAAAAAACAAATTGAGGATCTGCATTTTTCAACAGAGTACTTATTGATCCTCTTTTCGAGTTGCACCCTTTCAATCTGTGATCAAAATAACTATTTAATTGTGAACACAACTTAACTCTCTAAAAACTATAAATCTGTTAATATCCACTGACAAAATATTAACAATACGATGTTTCACTATGGTTTTAATGCACAAGTTTCCAAAATTTATCGGCATTTATTTGATTCAAACGAGACAGTATTTCTAACTATACCTAAAAAGCCCAATCTGAAGATGCATTGGGTTTGTAGTGGAAGGTTTCAAATTAACAAATTAACAGCTTTTATATTACATGTGTAAAAATAATATATTATATTAATTCAATTTAATATTATTTGGTTCAGAAACAAATTAAGCTTCATGGAGGCTTACTAAAATTTTATTATTCAAGGAAATCAAGTTATCAATCCACATTATTTGCTTCAAGATGATTTTTAGGGCAAAATGATGCTTGTGAACTCTAGGCAGAGTTGAATGAAATTGAATGTGATACATATTTGTGATGGAATTAAATGTAGCTCTGCAGCTGAGTTGAGATCATACTTCAGAGAAATAGTATTACTTCACAAAGCAAAATGCATAACAAATTATTGAGATAACTGAATATTACAATAGCTTTAGCAAAAGATGCATAATATAAATATCGAGACATTAGTGCACAACAGCCCTCTTTATTGTGCCTGATGTTTTAGTTAGCTTGTTAGTTTCTTAAGTCTAATCATTTCTGGACAGTCATGTCTCAATCTATTTTTTTCTACACACTATTATTAAAATATCAAGAACTTTTAACATTATAAAAACTCAGAATATCTTACTATATACATTTATAATAGGAATATAAACTTTATAAGCCTAATGCTGCTTCTGAAAACACAATATTATCATTCTACCGAGATATGATGATATGCGGAGAATGTATCCACGTAGAACAGCCTATTCTTTGGAAGCAATGTTGCATGCAGTAAATAAGTAATTGTTTTTGCATGTTCCCCCACCTACACCATTAATGTTCACTGACCAACACCAAATGAACAGTGTGCAAATTCATTGCACTTACATACCTGAGTTTACTGTGTAGCGTGTTCTTGCACTGGTGCAGTATGCTTCAATTATTCTCAAAATCTGAGCATCTTCCTCAAAACTTCTTCCATCTGAAATCCAATAAATAAAATAAATTAATTTTATTTCGAATATTACAATTCCTTTCACAACTTTAAAGTCACAAAAATTATTTTATTCATCCACGAAAACTATGAATGCAATTGGTTTCAAAAAACCACACTCACATTCAAACCATTGAAAAAGGAATCCTCAATGACTTTGCCTTTACTTTATGATCAATAGGCAAGTAAGAAAACTTCTTGGTATAGTGGTGAGTTGTTGTTGGCATTTAAAATGAAACAATTCTATGAGTTGTCATTGCCAACAATATTGTTGGCAATAACTACTCATAGAATTATTTCAAGGAAACTTATACTTAGGACACAGACATAAAAATATTAAAATGACCAGCACATTTTAAAAGAGCTTATAGCTGCCATCTGCGCTAAGTAGTAGATAGAACCCACTCACTTTGCTTCCTGGAACTGGCTCGCCCTGATCGCCGCAAACTGTCACAATGGCCAAGAGCAAGGCAGGGTCGGAGAGGGGGAGATGGGCGCAGACAAGACATACTCCAACCCTTGCTAACGGGGAGTGTTGCGACTGGCCGAAGACTGCTGCTCGCAGGAAGGGCACTCACACGAGGTGATACAGGTGCTGCCACAGCTGCACTCTTCTGCAAAGGAAGCACAAATAATCAACACCAACCCACATGAGGCTAATACATTTTCTATGGAAGGTAATGTACTAATGAAGATAAAAGTGATTTTATTTCTCTAAAGCTCTCTAAATGTTAAATAAAAATTCCTTTCAAAATCCTTACAAGTTTATCACGATCAAGTTTTCTTCACACTCTCAATATGTTAGCAAAATTCCATAGATTACATTTCATGTGTTCAGAACAATAAGACAGAGACATACATACTCACAACGGCTGACATTACAATTTCTGGTCAAAGAAATAGAATAGGCTACTCAGGAATTCTGTTGAGAACATTTGTTACATCTTGCAAATATTATTTGAAGCAAGTTCTATTAAAATAATTTACAAATTGATGAAATACATTAAAAAATTAAAAGCTTTAAAAATGACCGCGGAAAGGAAAAATGACTTACAAGTCGAAATTGACGTAAAAAAAAAAAGAGGACTCTCATTCAAAATTAAGGCAAAAAATTACCAACTTTTCACCAAAAGTTTACATAAAGGAAAATGTTGTGTAAAATTGCTAACTGAATTTTGAGAAAAGATTGCTTTACAAAAGTCATCTAGCTTCAATACTGAAGAACAGATTAAGAAAACCATACAAATCAAAATTACACAAAAAATATATTTTGAAAAAAGGGTATATGAAATGATTTAAAGATATAACATTTTAAGCACATTGCATTAAAAATCAAATCTGTCTTTAATGCTCTATTTCAGTGAAGAATTTAATTATTTGTTTTATAGAAAACTTTTTGAAAAAAATTTCTGGGAATTTCATGCCAAATACTCCCAAAAATAAAACAGTTTTCAAAATTTAAGAGCTATCGTAGTGACAAATCATTTGAGGATTATCCCTTTTTGTGAAAATCTTGTGTAAAGGCATTAGTATTTTTCACAGACAGACAGGTGGATGGAAAAGCTTATTAAAATAAAAACACCTTTTCAATATCAGGGATGCCAAAACCCAAATATTAGCTTTTTCAGCATTGCATAAATTTCTCTACAATACATATACAAGAAAGTAAAATTGGTAACTATGAAAGTCATACAGCTATTCTGGTGTTTTCCCATTTCTCTTACCAAAACTTCTATGATGTATTCCAAGATTCTGGTGAAATTTATGTTATATTGAACTTATTAAAATAACTTCAATATTTTTGTTTCATTTACAATGAAAAGGCATCTAAATAGTGCTGTGCATATTTTTCAACACTTGCAATTTCTTCAGCTTAATTTGCATGTAAATTACTGACAATCAGTAGTAGCTGCATCTTAAGGGCTCTTTAACAAGGAACCCTCCTCAGAAAATTTGCTTAAGTGTGAATCATACAAAATTGAGTACTTTAATTTGTGCACATCACTAGGGCTTGTTTTGAGAATGAAGTTAAATTTAATGTACCTGCATAAGGTAATGATTCACATTTTTAGAATGGGCCATATCCGTGCACTCTGGCAATGTCTTCCATAGCTTATGAATGCTAGGCAATGGATTGCGGCACAAGAGATTGGTACTAGGGAGTTGGATGGGGGTTGCGTGTTTCTAGTGTGATTTCGTAAGTCAGAATTCATATCTATTAACTAACCTAAGAGCATCGATCCTTTACCTTGTTTTCATAAATTATTGTTTTGTTTGTTGCACATATTTTTACAAAAAAACTTTGTGTGTATGAACAGAATTTTATTTGGTATAGTCAGACTGTCAGACTTGTCAGACTTGTCAAACTGTCATTAAGTTACTGTAGCAGAGGTTTTTTATCCACTGCTGGCAACTCAAAAAGCCATGCACATGTCCAACTTGAGCAAAACTTAATTACAAACATTTTACTATTTTTTTTACTGAAATACACAAAAAACACTACTAGAAATTCTGCTGCTCTTATATATGTTACATATATGTTAGAACTTCAAACATCAATCTCAAAAAACAAAATCTAGATATAACATGAATTGTTATGTCTATTCATATGTCAGGGAGACTCCACAGCAATTCTTATGGTGAGACACAGGCAAGTGCAATCTAGTTGGGCTCCATTAGTAAGCACAACACTCCAATGCACATATGTTAGTGAGACAACACATTGAAGCATGGTTTCCACAGACTGTCTAAAATAACAGAAATAAATATGTTCTTCCAGGCTGCAACTCATAACAAATTTTTAATATCTATACATTTCAAAAGAATTTATAAAACACAAAATTGAAAAGTCTTCTAATATTCTCAATTCATGTTTCATTTTCTAACAGTGAACTTGTTATTTACAGACTTTTATGCAAAATAAATCTTCACCTAATAACAATGATAAAAAAAAAATTAACAAAGCTGTCACAGATAGGAAAAATAATAACATTTGAAACTATGACAAAGAAATGTCTTTCTAAAATATTTTGCACATACAAAAACTCCAAACATCTAAAAATAAAAATATAATAACTTGACTTACAATAGATCATTTTATACCTACTTTAGAGAAATTTTTCTTTTTCAACAAGGGATCTTTCTGATTGATGTTGTTCTAATGATGCAATTTTAAACAACTTAACAAAGTTGATTTCTCTTTTTCTAGTGATCACCTAAATTCAGAAAGCACTTGCAAATATTATGAGTGGGTTTCATTCCTAAGAGCCATGTTACTCATTAATAAGTAATCTTTTGGCCACAATTCACTGTTTGAACATGAACAAAATATTACTTAATAATACCTTTCCAAAAACTATTTTTCCTGGATTTTTTAAAGTAAGTGTCTTATTTTTATATAAACACTATGATTCATTAGTTAACAACACACATTCATACCCTTTCCATAATATCTTTTTACTGTAGTAAATGCAAATTAATTTATATACCAACAGTAATTTTGAGTGTTTTAAGTTAAATTTAATCAAAGGAGTCTGTAGAAACCAAGAGCTAGTAAAATGTATACACTAGAAGTGATTTTCACTGCCTCAGCAATAATGCTGCTTAATTTTTTCTTAACACCCATTAATAAATGTAGGACATCCTTCTACACCTAAATAATAATTTGTCACTATTAATATTTGAAACGCACATTTTGCCTTCACTTAATTTACTACGGAAGTGTTGATCATTGTGAGTGTGGATGTTATCACAAATAAAACATTTCTGTAAATTATAAAACAAAATTTATGTAAGATACTGAAAAGTAGAAAACTAGGTGAATTTAAAAATCATTCCTCAAACAAATAATCAGAGCACGGAAGTTCGGCAAAATATCTCATTATTGTTACTATTTTATGACTGAACAATAGGAATCACTTAATTGTACTTCAGTTGTTTTAGAAGATTTTCATTATGCCTTTTTTTGGCCTATTTTAGCTTCTAATGACAAGTTTTTCCATTGTGTCTTCATTATTGTGCTGTTTTATTTTCTCCTTGCACCAATCGTGATCAAGCTGGATATATACCAGCAAGCCGGAACTACACTAAGGTTTTAGCTGTGTTTTGTCTTTCTGTGGGAGCAGCAGCAGAGGCTTGTGTTAAATAAATGAAAAAGGAAGATGATGCCAGTCAACATTTATTTTTTTCATAGATGCTCACAGCCTTTGTTTGTTCACAAGGAATCCCATCCTACATTTGAGTATGGCCTTCGAACACTTTGAGGACAGCCTTCTGTATATGATATACCCTTCTTAGGGCTGGTGATTACACAAGTGACAGGAAAGAAAAATGTAATTCCATTTTTCACTGATACCATATCAAGATACAAAAGGGAGTTCACAATAGCATTTCAAAAAGAGGGAGGTAAAACGAATTTGTAGCCTTGATAGAGGATAGTCATGCAGAATCAAGAGTACAAAGTAAATATAGTGTCCTTACACATTAAATGCTAATGTAAATTTTAGAGTTAAATTAAAAATGTAAATAATTTTAATTATTAACTTGTTTCACGATCATTCTTTTTAAATGTTAATTTTTCATTGTTTACATCAGCTAGAATAAATGCCTCTTTTAGTAGAAACAAATGCATTTTTGCCAACCTATTTTAGGTAAAATAAATGCCTGAACTTCCGGGCTCTACAAACAATAACTCACTGAAGAACTAACATAGGCAACTGCTACTGAACATGAAAATGGTAATGATATTTCTTGTTGTACTTTTCCCAGTCAAGGACATGGTGTTATGACACATTATTTTAGTCTAGAAATGATGCATTGGAGCCTCCATTTTTCTAATATTCATATTTTATTTAAAAGAAAGACTTCCTTAGCTTCACATACTTTAAAAAAAATACTAAAAACATTTCTCCAAAACAATGAAAATCACTGCCTGTGTAAAATGTCACACACATGTCACACTGCAACAACCAGAAAGCCTTGCCTGTGCATGAGCAACAGCTGTGACAGCTGCAAACTGTTCCTTGGTGAGAAGTCAGGGCTGATGCAGGAATCCGCGCCTTCAACCACCAGTGAGCATACATTCCTGATCGGAAGGTGCTAACATTGTCATTTTCCTCAATTGCAGGATCAGAAGAATGTGACTGAGATGTTGACACAGGAGATGGGGAGAGACTCAGGGACATGACAGATTGGGTTGCAGAATCAGATGAACCAACAAAAACCTTCCTTGAGGTGAGAGATGGTTGGGCTGATGTCCGTGGAGTTGATCCAAATGGAGAAGAGCAAATGCATTGTGCTTCAAAATTTGATTCGTCCACTTCACTACTCTCTCTCAGAGTAAGTGAATGTGGCAAACCAAATGAGCCAATGGTACGGGGACAGCTCTCTGACCGTGCCATGTCAGGATGAATACTGGAGAGATCTGGTGATGGTAGAATAGAATTTCCTGCTATGTCTGCAAGACCAGAGTCAGATGATCGTGAACTGCAGGGCATATCCCCTCGACAAAGGAGACAGCTTGAATCATTTGGGTTGGCAGCACTGTCAGTTGAAACATTGGAATTACTGTGATGACAACTACTGGAATGTGAAGAAGTTTTGTGCAAAGGAAGGCTACCATCACTTGGCAATCCTCTCATTTTCCGACCTCTGCCAGGTCGAAGTCTAGATTTCTTGTGGTCCGATATACATTGTTGCGATGTATGCTTTCTGGCAAGAGCTGGGCTGCCAGGATATTTATCATGTGACAATCTTTTACCAGATAAATCCTCTTCTTTCTGCGATGTCTCAAAATCAGTATTATAAAGCAACTCTGCCATTAAGGCTGAGGGTGCTGGTATCATTGCTGGGATGTCAAAAGTTGATGAATGAGTTTTGGGAGGCGAATTATGCAATGCACCTTCATCAAATAACTGAGTTCCCAATGCAATTTCTTGGGCAAAGACATGACTTGGCAGTGAATTTAATGAGAGCTGAATAGTAGAACAACATCGGCGAGGAGTTGGCATGCTCTGTCTCAAGTCAGGATTGTTCACATTCTGTTTACTTGTCTTTTTCTTTATTATTGGTACATCATCTTTCAAATTAGACAAATCTTCACAAACATCACACGGAAATGATTTGTGGGCTGATGTTCTTTCAAAGCTGCTTGATTCTGCTGACTGTTCACTTGCAGCAAGTAATAATTTATTTTTCAGTTCTAGCTGGACTGTAGTGCCACTACGATACCTTGCACTTTTACGGCCAGTTTGTGAAGCATCTCTTTCTTCAGTTTTCTCTGATGAATTATTTCTGATTTCTCCAAAAACACTGACACTTTTTTGCACAACAGGTGTCTCATCAAAGCTGCCTGAATCGTAGAAACAAATAAGACCACACGGTCCACTAGCACAGCTAGAAATTTGATCTTCATTTGTATGGTCCACAGCATCTTGCCGAACCAAGATGCCCGATTTCCAACCATGAGATGAAGCTGTACCAGAGGTGCCACTAGCAGTAGCACTCGAAGAACAGGATTCTACCCACGTGAGGTGAGCAGTGCTAGTACCAACACTGACTCTGTGTGGAATGATTTTGCATTCAACTTTATGATGACGCCGTAAGCGCACATTTGACAGATTGACACCTTCAGTAAACACTGAGTACAGTAGCTTCTTGAGAACTTTTCGAGTTATAACACCTTGCTTGACAAGACCAGCAAAATGAGCTGCCAGTCGAGAATATGGGCAGAGAAGAACACTTACATGAGGTGAAGGCAGAGGTGTTGGCTTGCTAGCTGGAGGCGAAACAGGTGGAGGTGATGAAACAGATGATGATTTCTTCAACATTCGGATCTGTTGCCGCAGCTGATCTACCCACAGTTGCTGATCCTCTCGGGTCTGACACACAGCAACAATGCGTTCTATCATTGGCCCTGAAACACCATTTGACTTCTTTATAACTGTCCTTTTTCCATTTTCTAAAATAAGTGATATTTTTAGGGTTATAAAGTGTTTGAGTTAAATTTATAAATAAGTGACAATGTTAGCAAACTCATAAATTTTAATCCTTTTACAGACTTTTCAAATCTTTATGTAACTGTGAACAATTAGATTGACAAGTTTGATTGATCAATGATTTCCATCAAATTACAGAAGTTAAATATTTTTAAATGATAATTCTCCATTATACAGAGATTGGCAAACTAAAATTGTTATTCATGGTACAATGTCCATGACATGCTCCACTGCACTTCATTTTACTGAAGCCAACGAGTGTGTTATTTGAAATAGTCATCGCTTCATTTATCAACATTATTTAAATATACAATTATAAATTTAACATGTTTTTATTTGAAATGAAATGATTGATGCTACTTTACACAATTCATCACATCTCTAACAACTATCCTCCTTCCTTTTCACCTTTTTTTTTAGTTGAGAATTCGAATTTAAAATATTATGTTTCCAAATTAAGAGCATCAATCCTATTCCTGCCACCTGCAACGGAGACCAATATTTTTGAATGGGCCGGTAAAAAAAAACTCTAACCGAATGGCATTGTATCAAATGGTACGTAACGCGAAAATGAATGCCGAGAGTTTGTTACACAATGTGGGTTTGATGCCCGGGAAACATATATCTGCATTTTGAACAGAATCAGAGGCCATCATCAAGTCTGGGTGGATAGAAAATCTGCCGACAGAAGGGAAAGTTCTTAGATGGCGTCTGATGAAAGACTATGAACAAAGCAAAATTTAGTTCACAAAACTTTCAAGAGGAACCTAAAAAGTCAAAAAATGTCACAGCATGGAAGGAGGACCAAAATGAAACAAAGATTGATACATATTATGATGATGATGATGAGTGTAGTGACAAACACTGTGATTATGATATTAAGGAACAAGAAAATAATAGTTCACCAATAACTCTTAACATTCTCATCAACAAGGCAATTTTCTAGTCAATGAAACGTTTGGAATTTTATTTTGACTAAATGGTAAGAAATTAGTTACAAATTATAAAAATTCTGAAGAGGCCTATTCAAAATTAGGGGATCATCTTATATTCAGGTAAATACAGTATTTCTGTTTAAGCAATGATGCAATTTCTTTTCAAAAAAGATAAAAGGGCAGAAATGATACAGTTAAATTTTAGCAAAATTATCTTATTTTGATATAAACTCAAAAATAACATCACAAAAGATATCTATTCACCAAAATTTGGTGAATTTGCAACACAGTATCTCATGTCACTAGCCATGCTGCCCAGATGTAACATTAAATTTCTCAAAAATGGCTTCAAATTTCTTCTTTAAATTTCTTGTAAGAATAGAGTGAAATACTTATAAAGGTGGCATAAGTCTGATTTTCACTGATAACAGTGAAATTTTGAAAATTGCAAAAGATTGGAATTTTTTTGGCATTTTCTTACAACTAAAAAATTTGAGATAGAGATTTTTCCTTCAAGTAAATTTTTTTCTCCATAATTAGTTCTTTCATTAAGGACATGCACATTTTTTTGAAAATTTTAGAACTTCTCGCACAATATTGTGTGCAATATTAAAAAATATCATAAGATTCTCTGGAAAACAGCTCCAAATTTCTTCTTTAAAATATTGGTGGGGATAGTGCTAAATGTCCTCTGATGACATAAATGCCATACTGCTCTAGTTTTTTGTTGTTTTTTTTCTTCAAAAATTACACAAATGTATGTATTCTTAATATCTCTCTCTCACATTATTAACATTTACATTAGCAGCAATTTCTTCACATTATTGCATTTATGAGTGCATATGCTTTTAATGATGTCTTATAAAGCTTCTTGAAAACTAACTTTTCTGTGAAAAAGAGCTTCAAATTTCACAGTGAACTTAATTATGTCTAATTAGCATTTTGTTAAAAATGGCTACAAATTTTTCAATGAAAATTGCTTGTAAGACAAGGTTTTACTCTTCTATAAGATTCTTAAAGTAATATTTCTGTTCTATTATTACAACTGACAAATTTAGAAAATTTCAAAAAAATGTACTGTAATGTAATAGACCAAAAAGCCCAGACAAAAGAAATTGATATGAGAAAGTCTGTGCCATTCTTTAGCACCACTAGTTTAATTTTTCCTTGCTTACGGAGACGTCCTATCAAAAAAAAATTAAAGAAATAATATAAGAAATAAAAATGAATTTAAAAAACAAACAAATAAAAACAGTTTTCTATCTTGCTCCAGTTGCTCAAACTTTATGATACAAGTCAGGGCCACATGAAATTTTGTTGTTGCTTTTATTGGTGTAATTCTCAAGAAGTCTCTCCTCTTATAAGGGAAACTGCTTATGCTGATTCATGGAATAAAATATGAAAAATAATTATACCTGGTATAACAAGAAATTATAGAAAGAATTATAGAATAGTATATACAAGATGTTATATATGACTAAAAACAATTATAAATGAGAAAAAGAATGTTACCTGATATCTCAAATGCATTTTTCAGCACATCTGTGTCTTCAAGTTTATTAATAGTAATTGCAGTTAAAGGAAGCTTTCCCTGCAATAAAATTAAAGAAAATTCACTGAATCTCAAGAAATGTTACCTTTGAATTGCTTCCAATCTAATTATTGTAAGAACTAGTGTGACAAATGAACAAAACAACCAAAAGCACAAATGTATATTCTGAATTTCAACATGATTTATTCTAATTTCTGGCATAATAAAAACATTAAATTGATTCAACTGGAAACATTAAAGTACTTTGAAGACATAGGCTAGAAGAAGCCAGAGATACTGGAACCTTGGGTGTCTGGGAGACCCCACATCCTAGCCAGGGTGGCCAATGTTTTGATTGTCATTACTGCATCCTAGAATTTTACCCTAAAGATTGCAGAATGATAAACCAAACCTTAGCAACCACACCGTGATAAAGTATCTCCTAGACAGCAAAGAAGATTCCATTAAGATATTTTAATTAGTTTTAAAATTTTCTTCAATACTGAAATTTTTAAATTTACTAAATGTAATTACAATACTGTAAAATTAAATTTTTACATACATCTTATTGGGAAAGAGTCAAAATCTATCAAAAACTATTCAGTGCCAAAATTGTAATGGTGTAAACAGTGTAAAAGCAATCTTTCTCTCTAAGTGAAGCCAATATCCTTAAAAATGAAAACTCACCTCGTAGATAAAGGCACTCATTCGCTGGCTGACACTAAGTATGAGAAGTGTGGAGGGAAACAACACAAGGTAGCGGTCCCGGTGCTCGGGCCCTACTGCCACTGAGCCCATGTGCAAGATGTCTCCCAAGCAGGACAGATCCTCACCCTCCCAGCCCCGAACACCACCTGTAAGTACCTCCAGCTCCAGCTCCTTCTGACGACGAGTAGCAGAGCAGGCAGACTGAAATTACATCAGAGCATATGCATTAACAAACAACTGTTTTAAAAAATACCTTATTGACAATAAGAGCAATAAAACACAAAGCATTTCAACTGAAGATCATGAGTATGTTAATTTTCATTATGTAACAGAAATTCTCTGTATAAAATAAAAATCCTTTAAAATCTTACGATTATGTCAACAGATATAAGGAACACCATACCATAACTTGGCAAGCTTATTTGCTCTATGACTCCAACAAGGGCAAATAAAGAAAATATATTATAATAGTTTAATTCAAAATCATAATTCATTTCACTTTAAGAGAAGTCTCAACGAGCTCAATTCACATCTCTATTTAAAAATTAGCAGTCAATAAGCATGGTTATTTAATGGAGACACTGTAGGGATTTTAAAATCAAGACATAACTTAACACTTATTTACTTCGTAAGTAAAGAGAGTTAAAACAGAATTAACAAAATATGCTTGCCCATCAACAGTTTTCACAGCATATGCCACCAATGTAAGACACAGCTTCAAATGTCCTTCTAGAAAGATTGATAGTACCCACCGCAATGTCCTTATAGACAGACACAGACCGCTGGGTATCTCCACGGTCTGGGTGGTTCTCCTCTACATGCCTTTCCAGCTCCTGAAGCATGCCAGCATACTTCTCCAAACGCCGGAAAGGCTTGCTTAGGCCAGTTGTGAGCACCAAGAGGCCTGGGCTAGCAGCCCCTTGGGCTTCCATGAAGGTATTCAGGTCATCTCTGTTTAAAATAAATCGCAACATACCGTGAAACACAATTAGGGTTAAAAAGAAGTTATACATAAGCTATTAGTTCTAAAAAAGATTCTACAGAAGTTTTAGATCGTCAATTTTCAATGAATTTAAAAACTAACATAAAGGATATAGAGCATGAGAACATGATTTTGGTGCATGTTCACGTCTGCAGTGACCCATTGAAGTTCCTTCCAAATGATACAAAAAGAGCATCCAGAAACTAGACTCATTTCTTACATAGTATTAACGCTAATATTAATGTTTTTAAAGAAATGGTGTCTATCGTTTAAAAAACAATTTCATGCTCTCAACGTTTCAGTCTGGCGATCTATGTCTTTGCCTCTATCACTCTCAAAGTCTGATAAATATAAAGGTTTCAATAATTTAATGGTTAATCATATGTTGATTTCTAATTATTTTCATAGACTTTATAAGACAGAGCAATCTCTTAAATTGAAATAAATTCTTTAATGCAAGCAGACATAGTATTCAGCATCTCTTCACCAGAACTCCCCATATACACATAATGCAATTTCAACGAGACAAAATATTGTGACGAATCCTTTTCCTTCTTATTATAATCTTCCAATTTAATTATTTATAAATTTTGCTAGCTCAGTTTCTCTTGTAATTGGTGTAATGATACTTACAATCTCAGGGTTAATACTCTGTGATCATCGCTCAGGTCTCGCACACAGGACTGTGTCCTGAATACAGTATTGTATTGTATTAAAAAGGAAGAAAAGGCAGCAAACAATTAGCAAATTACAGTCAGTACTTATTGCCACTGTAATTGAATTGATACCTTATTTTACATGGTGAGGCTCAGGCCATCAGGCTCACTCTTCCGTATGACCATGCAAATTTCGCTACACACCTTTCACCAACTAGCAGAGAAAGGAGGTATTTCTTGGGTGACGATTTGAATTTAGCTCACAGGCGTCATTTAGGCTTGAGGATCTTTTACATGAAAGTAAATCTACTAATGTGTGACTTCCCCTCTGAAGGAAAGCGTAGGAAGGATTTCTTCGCCTTTAAAAATCCACGGTTTCGATCGGGTTTGAACCCGCCAACTTGGGTATAGCAGTCCGATATGCTAACCGTCACACCATCACCGCTGTAATATCAGTTCACAAACTATTTGTTCATTAGAAATTGCACATTAGGTTAAACCATACAATAATTCAATTACCATCATAATAAATATTATCGCCAGCCGTAGCCTTGAAAGATTGGTTAATTTTCAGACCACAACAAAGAACAGAGTATTAGCCCTGAGAGTGTAAGTATCATTATGCCCATTACAAGAGAAACCGAGCTAGCGAAATACATAAATATTAAATAGGTAATTAAATTAGGAGATAACAATAAGAGGGATAAGGAATCGTTACAATACACATCATAACTGGTTGTGAATGTTACAAAATAATTTTGAAAAGAAAAATACCACCCCAGCAATTTCATAATAAAAGCATTTCAACGCTTTCCCCACTGACAATCATTTTTACAAACAGCGAGTGTGAGCAAACATCTTCATCAAGACACTGTATGCATAGTCGTAACCTTCACAAATGCAAACGTATGAAGAAAGCCGAATGATTAGAATGACTTCAACTTCAGAAATAATTTCATAAATTGTTCTTGCATACACCCTTAGGTAGTTTAAACCAAAGAGAAGAAAGTTTCTTGGTTTCACTGATGAAATTCTGTGAGGTTAATTCAATTTTAATTATTTATATTCATAATTGCTAATCCTATTGATTTGAAATTTTGCAAAGGCAAGGTGGCCACTTATTTTCTGGAACTAATTTCCCTGTCTTTTCCTGGTTTACCAAAGCATTCTTTTCGTCTTGATAAGATTTGTAATTTCTCACTACTTATAAGGTTTTTGGTATGGCAGAAATTATGATATTGCAACATTATGAAACTATTTCCAATAGTGCATGAAAGTATGTGCTGTTGTAGCACCTCCAGGTTTTAGAAATATTAAAATTTTTAAAAACTGTAAAATTAGATTTTGTGAGGTGAAATGGTTACTGTCTCTGCTGCAAAGAGTGCCCACGAAGAGTTGTTTTTTGACTGATGCATGAACAAAAGTAGTTTTAACACCCCAACTCTCGCATAATCAATAAGGATTAACAAGTTGATATTGGTATATACTAGTCTTTAATAACCAAAATATAATGAAAAAAATATGTCCCAAAAAGGCAATACGAACTGAACAATACAAAAATTTATAATAAACACAGCATTTTTATACAATGTTGTAATATTACTTTAACAAAACTATTCCTAAAAATTAAAAATAATATGAGGGGCAGAGGTTAGGGTAGAAATATCTCAGCTTCCCAGTAGTGCAAAATAATCCTATGTTGTACTTGATTTGCAAGTAAAAGAAAAATATTTTCTCTGTCCTAGTGTACATTGAACATGCTTACTTGTACTTGTCAAGGATGCATACAGCCCGTGGATGTGAGGCACAGTATGACTGGTGAACCTGCTTAACTCGAGGAGCAGATGAAAGAAATACACGTCCAACACGTTGTTCAGGAGCTGGTCGCTGACTACACTCTTCCAGAGCTGCTAACAACTGCTGATGTGTCTCCACTACACAGCCAATGTTGCCCACCAGTTGGCGGTATTCCTCTTTCGTCAGTCTGAATGTAGAAAGAATAACATGAATCTCCTTGAAAAATTAGAAAGCTTCATTAATGAATTTGCCAACTTATAGTGCACAAACTTAAACAGCATTTTTCCTTCTTCAAAAGATTTTTTTTTTTTTTTTCTCAAGCAAGTGGTCATAATAATTCAATTACCATCATTTACATACCTCAACTAAAAAGTGTGTTAATTTAACCTGAAATATATTATTACTGCATACAGCTATTTATTAACAGTCATATTTTTTAACAATATAAGACTCTCAGAAATGGAAAAGTGTGTTACTGAAAATGTGTTTTGACTGCCTGGATGGAACAAAGGATAAGGTAAAGAAAACCACAATTGCAAAAACCAAGATGTGATGAAGAAAATCTCCCCAGAGGAATAAACCCAACAAATAAACTCTGTTCTAACAGTAAAAGTTTTGACATAAGAAATGACAATACTGAATAACTGATACTGTTCAGAAAACATCAGAAAGACAGTAGTGGTGCTACAGAATGGAATAGGCTTTCCCATATTAGTTTCTTATTTTCCTGGGTCTGGGCTAGCTATTCTGACTTGCCACAATCTCTTACCGGCAACCATCTTATCGCTGACAAATTACATTTTTGTTTCACTTTCTCAATTTGTCAGTTTTCTAGTAGTAGAACCAACATATTATTTTATGAATGTTGAAAAAGAGTAAAACCTGGTCCTAAATGGCAATTTTCATTCAAAAAACCAGAGCCGTTTTTTAAGAAAATGGTGTTTAAGCATTACTGTAAATGCAAAATTTGAAACTCTTTTTCACAGAAAAGTTTAGAGTTTCTGAAAAACTTGATAGGAAGTCATTTGATGCACTTCCACTCACAAATGCAATAGTGTTTACAAATCAATTCAAATGCACATATTAATGACATGAGACACATTAAAAAAATATATGTGTAATTTTTGAACAAACAAAATTATAAAGCAAACTTCATTTTATTTCGAATATACCAGCCCTGAGAAAGACCATGACAAGAAGGTCGAAACGTCGGCAACACAGCCTTCATTTTATGTCATCTCATTGAGAAAATGGCAATTGAGCATTTCTGCAAATGCAGAATTTTGTGTTTGTTTTCACAGAATTCTTTTGAGTTTTCAGGACACTTATCACTTTAGACACACTATTTAGACATCAAATGAACACACATACTTGTACATGCAATAATGTTAACAAATTGACACTAATAAGAATACTTAAGACAAGTGAGGCTCGTAAAAAATATTACATTTTTGTAATTTTTAAAAAAACAAAAGAATAGAGCAATATGGCATTTATATAATATTATAGTGTACATTTAGTACTACAGCTACTAAAAGTTTAAAGAAAAAATTTGGAAATTGCATATATTTCACACAAAATTTTCAAAAAATTGTACATGATTTTATTGAAAGAACAAAGTATGGAGAACAAATTTCTTTTGAAGAAAAAGTCTATCTTTGATTTTTCAGTTGTAGGAAGATGGGGAAAAAATACTAACTTTTTCCATTTTTCAAAAATTCAGAGTTAATGGTTGAAATTATACCTATGCCACCTTTGTAAGTGTATTTTATTTTATTCTTACAAGAAATTTAAAACAGAATTTGGAGCCATTTGTGAGAAAATTTGAAAATGTCGCAGGGCAGTCATTTCATGTCAATTTCAACATCATTTTGACCTTAGATGCTCAAAATTGATTGAAACTTCTTGAATGTGTTCTGAGGGTCACTAAAAGATCCTTAAATGTTATTGAAATTAACTTAATTATTTTTGAATTTATGCTGCATGAAATTTTTCAAACACACTCATGCACCAACAAATGAAATTGCTTATTCCTCCTGCCACATTGATCGTACAGAACTGCAATTAGTTTTGAATAAAAGCTCAAACAAAATTTTTACAATACTATTCACTGTTGAATTTTATTGTTAAATATCAAAATTCATTAAAACTCAATTAATTATAAAAATTTCACTTTTACAAATTTCGCAAAAAATAAAATTTCACTTTTACAAATTTCGCATTTCATTTCAAAATTAATATTATATTCTCAGTTTAACAAATTTTAAATCAGCAAAATTTCAAATAGGGATATTTATAAATAAGGTAATTAAAAATATTAAATGAATGTGTGCGCAGCAACATAGTGTACTGTGGGGATAATTCAATATTAATACTACTTCGAACTGTGAAGATCGGAATGAACCATCTGGTCTGGATAATCTTAAATCATTTTTAACGACGACAGGATATTTTTAAACCTGCAGCTTTGAAGAAATTTTTCTTTTTTTTCTTTGTTTGTTATTGGAAAATGGCTCTGAAAATCAAAGCCCTCTTTCTGTTATCAGTGGACCACGCGCAGGCAATTCATACGGCTCTTCCACATGTAAACAAAGAGGCCCTTTCTCAAAATCCAGATGAGCTCTCTTGTCAAGATTCCTGACAGTATGTAACGTTTCATGAATTTAGTGCCACAACAGCCGCATCAGGACAAGACACATACTGTGCTGTCCAGCAACAATTTTATTTGTTGTAGTGAGCTATATCTATGTGCAGCAAGTGTAAACCATGTTTACTGTAGGCTTTACATAATTTGTGTTGTTAACACAATCAGTATTATAAAACATCCAAGGCATTATTTTAATTTTAATACAATCAAAAATCACATTGATGGATTTAAGAAGAAAAACTTTACATATCTAACATCCTATTCCATCATCATTCAAAATTCAGTTCAAGCAGCACATCGGAATAAAGAACCAGATCACACTTCACTCCTTTGTTATATATTCAATACAATAGTCAACTACAGCAAAAAAGTGTAATAACTATGCTATAAAATTTCTGAAAGCATAAAGCTTGGTACAAATGCAGTTCACCTCTTCCATAAACATTTGATTGAATTTCTAAAAGTTGAAGTAGGAAATGTCAAAAAGATAATGTATTTTCAGATGGAGCAAGTGCACAACATAAAAACAAAAAAAAATTGTCATTTTGTTTTCACGAAAAATATTTTGGTGTAATCGTGGTGGGTATATATTTGGTTAGTTCCCATCGGAAAGAGCCTAATGGAACTGGCGACACCACCAAAAGATTGGCTACACGAGAAAATCTGCATCCATTTCATGATCCAATTACATCACAGAAATTATTCGAGTGGGCAAAAAAATGTTAGTGGTATTAACTTTATATTCTTGACAATTGATGACCAGAAAATAGAATGTGATTTATTGAAATCCCGGTATGAAAAAGTGAAATAGTTATACAACAAGTGACTTTCATGGATCTTAATTAACATTTTTAAAATGTATATTAATGAATGATGCAATGAATGAATGAATATGAGTGTCAATGACTACTTCTACAATTTACATTATTCATTTCTAACAAACTCATTTTAATGACCAATTGACTGAGTGCATTTGACTTCATTTGGCGCAAACCTGAATGCCTTTTTGTATAATTTTAGTACAAATATAATAAAAAGTCATGTTATAATAATCTATAAAATGAAGCTAGTTTGAATTCTTTAGTTTTTAAGGAGATATGAGCATTTACATATGACTATGTGTGTTAGTTTGTAATTTTTAATTCTCAAAGGTATACAACATTTACGAAGACAAAAAAAAAGTGAAAATTGTTTTTGCTATTAGAATAAATACACAAAGTTAAAAATAAAAAATAAGAGGTCGATTTTCCTTCGAATTTGTTCGATTTGACATGAAATGACTCAAGGTCTTCATATAAATTACCCCCAAAAATTAATGAAGGTTTCTTAAAAATCACAGAGCTTCAACTCAGGCCAGATCAACAAGGGTTTATTCAATTTGGAAAAAAATCTTATGTATGGTTTAGGCTAGGGTTGTTCACTCACACCAGACAGGCGGAGGGGCGTTTTGAAAGAAAAAAAAGAAAAAGAACACTTTTTCTGTATCAGGGGATCCCCAAAACATGTACATCTGTTGGAATTTCAAAATCAATTTTCTACAGCATTACATAACTTTTTCTAGACTTTATTTATCACTCCGAATATACATATGTATACGAGAAAAACAACAGAGAATAAGTGAGAACACTGAAAATAGACTAAACATATTTGCTCTTCAGGAACAGGTCATCCATAAATTACACAATGCAAATTTGGGGTTTAGTACATCCCCCTCCCCCCTCACAATTGCACCCATAACGTGTACTTGAACTCTTCTAAATAATTATGTAATGTTTGTGACAACACTCCTCTCCCATTAACAAGAAGTGAAAATAATTGATAGAACAGTAAAAACTATTAGTATGAATTTTGTAAATATTTGTAAATTAAAAATTTATAATAAAGTCAGAATTAGTTTGCAATGCCGACTGCACCTAACAAGAAGATAGCGAATAATTTTGGAGTTAAGGTATATTTCAGAGATAAGGAAATATCTGAAAACAAGTAGAGTACACACCAACGTGTATAATAATGGGTGAAAATCTACTCTGCCAATTTAACTGGATTTTAGAATATGCTATGGATCAGTTTTGAATATTTTTCTTCTAATTTAAAAGATTCAATTATTATTCTATTGATGAAAAAATATTTCCATTTACGAAAACAATTGATACGTAATCACTTTTTAATTTATTTATATTTAAAAATAATTTATTAATATTTTAATGTCTTCGTATAAGACTAAAATAACAAATTATTTCAGCAAATGTTGAAAACAAATTTAAGAAAATCAATGTCAGCGTTAGGTAACACCAAAAACACACCTGCTCCCACTACGTACTGCCTCAATCCCCCTTCTCTCTATTTAATTTCATGTAACTTATGATGACTTATGGGTGATTATGAAACCTGACAAATGTTTTTGAAGAATATAAAGAGGGTATTCTCTTGGTACCAGATAGATGGATGAGAAAAGATTTGACGAAATAACAGTACTACATGTCAACGTATCACATATTTTGGGTAGTTGTGATTAAAAAGGGGTTTACACCACAAATATTGGATTTCAAATCAATTAACAATCAAATAAATAATTTTTGTACCAAATTTTAATTTAATAACTCACTAATCCAGTCTCTGTTGTAGATTGTAAACATATATCAATATGTAATGAATCATAATCAAGATAATATGCTTATAAGGTTAATTCAATAAATAATAAAAAAGGCCAGTTAAAGTAGGGTATACGGTATACCCTTAGAAAAACAGGGTAGGGATGAGGGGGGATGAGTCTTCATAAGCCCTCTCTTAAATTACACCAAGTACTATGATAGAAATTAATAAAAATTACCTAGATGTGATTTTACGGCTCGTAAAGTTTGGAGGTGCCCCCAAGGAATGACAAAAAAGTCAGTTGCCTCCTACTGCACTGAACACTTACGCACATGAGGAGTGGCCCCTTTCTTGCTTCACTTTCACTTCAAACCATCACACAACTCCTTTTGCTTGGCCAACCTCATCAGACACTTACACACAGGACACGTAAATCCTGCAGCAATCAAACAACATTCTTGCACCCATTTAATTACAACCAAACACCCTTTCGGTTCAAAGTGTAAAACAAACAAACATGTTCATTCTCACCATCGTCACACTGACACTTGACACTAAAAAACACAAATTGCAAAGAATCTGAGGAACGCAAGAAATGTAACTGTGTGACAGCAATATAGCTAACCACTTCAACAGCTGCTCTGACACAGAAAACTACATAAGCATACACCATCACGATTTAAGACATACCCACCACACTATTTTGTAATTGAAGCTCCAACGAGTTCGAAGGTTGAAATTGCCCCCCCCCCCCCCCCCCCAATCTTTTGACGTTATGTTCGTGACAATTGCAAACCATTAAAATTGTTTCAGAAGTGTACATTTTAAAATTTATTTAAACCACCCATGCTTTGCTTTTTATAAGTATGTACTAAGTAATGCATATTGTTCTCCACCCCTTCCCACCGAAAGGTTCTCCTTGTAATCCCCCAAACACCCCTCATCCCCACCACTGTGGATTTGTCCCTCGCCGGAGCGGCAAGAAGTTCCAGTTTAAATGACTTCCTAGAGTTCTACAGTGTACAAGACTTCAGGCAAAAGGTCAAAATTATTTGCAACCAGCAACCATTACAGTATACCAAACTAATACATACACAACTAAATGATAATTTTTAACTTTTGGAAATTGCTTGTTATTATTACAACTTACCTTTTTCATGGATGGAAAATTTTAATTGCTACCAAATAATAGATGTTTATTTTTTGTTAATAGTTGTTTTAGGAAAACAAAACAACAAATACAAAAATACAAATTTTACAAAAACACAAAATATTTTTTTACAAAAATAAATATTCAGTATTCTACATACATCTCTGATTTTTCCAGTGGATGGAGAAAATTTTTCAATAATCCCTGCAGTTCAGCAACATTTGCTTTCTCCGAATCAATCAAATCCTTTAAAACAAGATTGCGATATGCTTTTTGTTGTGCAACAATTTCTGGAGGGAGTTTGGATGGAGACATTTTGCTGGTTGTTGGACTGCCACCATCTACAATCATAATTTTTAAACACTATTACATTTCTTCACAACATTTACATACACTTAATTCATACATATGAATTGAATGAAGTCAGATTTACCATGATATATTACGATTTATTACCATTATTAATTACTCATCTCAATCAGGTTTTTGTCCAGTTTCCCTGATCCATTGAGCAAGTGCTAAGATGGCCCCTTGTTTTGCTTCTAGGTGTAAATGTAGCTTCACTATGCGCACGTTTTGTTGAACTCTCCTTTTGCTTCTAATGGTAAGAGTAGAGGTAAGGGCGAATTGCTATTTTGTTAGCAATGCAAAAAAATCATACTTTCAATTCGTGTACCGATACAAATAAGTTTTCTATAACTCTGAAACGACAATGACTATTTTTCAAATATTGCTAATCTTGCGATTTTAAAATTTATTTTATTTATTTATGTTAAACTTTGACTCATCATTCAACTATTTATAATTAAAATGACGGCAAGGGATTCTGGAACTCAAGAAAACGTGCGCAGATAATCTTTTCCCCCTACATCAAAAACAGTTTTTACTATTTTTTTATACAGAATAAATCTAAATCTATGACATTCTAATTCTTAAGTGTAGAAAGTCATTATTTTTAAATAACTCTTAAAAAAACATGTTAATTGCCTAAAAAAAAAAACTCAACATTTACAAATAACTTTCCTAACTAATTACACTACTGAAAAAACTTTTAAAGTTACCAAGATTGAAACCTTACTCACCTTGAGGCTTATATTCTTTCACATAATTTGAAGGAAACCACCCTGTTTTCTCTCCAAGGGTACCCTCCCACCATCCCCCTTCTTCTTTCTGGGTTAAAGTGATAATATCACCTTTCTTAAAGCAGAGCTAAAACAATGCCAAAATATTTTTAAAACACCAACAATTGACACAACATTGTAATCTTACTTTGTACATGACATTTCCAATAACTAGCAAAATTATATTCTGTCATTTCAAAACCTCACCAAAACTTAATAGGCAGAAAAGTATTTTGAATATGTGGGTGTGTGTGCGTGTGTGTGTGTGTGTGGGGGGGATCAGTTCAACCTCCTGCCTCCTCAATATTCCAGAAATTACACTTCTTTTTTTACAAATGTGAATAAATATTATTGCAAATTTTGTAAAGCAGAACTACTGTCTCTTTTCTTTTAGTGAAATCTGAAAACTTTCCTCTCTTGTAAAATTTTGTCATTTTTGCTTTTGACTCATTTTTAATTATTAAGAAGACTGACTATATCAAATTCACTTTACATTCTATAAAAGAATTAAATAACTCTGAATCGTATATCGAATGTGTTTAATTCAAATACTACACTCAACAGTAATAACTTTGACAAAATCAGTTCAACATTTGAAGAAAATATGCACTGTGAAAGTTTTCCAGCATTGCCCACAATTTCTTATGAAATACACTTACTTCATCATTGTTCTTCCCTTTGAATGAATACACTGCCTGAACCAAAGTGGGAGTATCAGTTGTTCCTGACATTTTCCTTTTGGAAGATCAGTTTAATTCCTGTAGAATTCAGTCTTCATTCTATGTGCAAAAGAGTAAAGTTAACATCATTTCCTTCATAATCTTCACACTACATCTATTTGCAACAAAAAGCCCACCAATGTTACGACAGTCACTCACAATACACAAAATAGAATTTGAAGAATAGATATTGTTACAAATTATATGGAGCAACAGAATCATTAAATCTCTGATTTAAGAAATTATAAAGGAGCCTAATGTATTTCACAGGTTTCCTCATCATACAATGACACAATCCAAATATGGATCTTGTGAATCTAATATAACCACAATTGAACAAAACTAATCCCTCCATGAACTTTCTCAAATAGGTAACACTAAGAAAACAAATTTCTTGAAAGAGAACTTCATCACATCTTCCTCAGTTGCAATGTGCCAATTTGGGTAGTATTGTTATGAATGACATCGTTGTATAATATGTAAATTCACTTCACACACATCTATCCTAACTTTAGAATCAAACTATTCACATTTGTCATTCTAGTTCCAACAATTTCTTCAGTTACTTTACAGAATCGCAAATTCTGAAGGAATTCTTTTATTTTACGTGTTGGCGCAATACCACAAGCCATTACATTCCAATTAAATATACAATATGTCATCTTTCACGAAGCACAATCATCTGTACATAGAGTTTGTCTTTTGAGATATTTCAAGGAAAATTCCTTAGCGAAGCATATATCGTACTTACATACACCACCGGGATTCAATTACTTCTAAATTGAGTAATAACTAGTCAAGTCCAGTTCACTAGCAAAAAAGTATGTGGCAAAGTCTTTTCCTTCTTTCTCTTACGTCTGAAAATAACTCACCTCGTTCCTAATTTAAATCGCGATAGACGCCACGGAATAGAGCTTCAAATTCTCTTGACAAACATTTTCAGCTCAGCCTGCGCACGGAGAAGGAGACTCGAATCACTCGAATTCTCGAACTACTATAGCATCTTCCTGTCATCTTCGTGTGGTGTGGTTATAGGACACAGTGCAGGAAAATTGCTTTCGGAGCATCCTATACTGATAATCCTTGTAATCTGCCTACAATCTTACAACCAGCCTACAACCTCGTGTATAAAGAGAGAACGAGAGTAGAAAGGATTAAACAAAATGGATTAGAATGATAAAGATATTAAGAGAGTGGCAATCAACACACAATTGTGAACGAAGTGCCATCAGCTGATCGCAGGCTACATAAGTTTGGACTGCACTTTTGTTTGCATCGCAGATTTGCGTGCCAATAGTATTAAAGAATGGTAAGTAAAATTCATGACATTTATTAATTTTGCAATTTTAAAATCATTTAGTGTTGGATGTAAGGTTATATGAATGCAGTTCTTCAGTGTCCCATATTATTTTCAGAATGCCAAAATACCAAAAATTGGCATTACAGTGCACATTAAAAAAAAGAACATTTCCAATACTTTGTACTAAAAAATGCGTAAATTTTTTTACAGCACGGTCGTGTAAAGACACGCAGTACAGCAGAGCAACAAGAGGTAAAAAGAAAGGAGCGCGAGAAGAAGGTGAAATTGTATAAAGCTGGTGTTGAAAAATTATTTCAAAAGGTATGACAATTCTCATAGTACTGCGGTGATGACATTTTTGTACAATCTATAAGTGAGCTATTTCTGTTGTTCGTTAGCGTGATGGAAATTGTTTTGATAATGAAGTTCTCGAGATTTCTGCTCAACTTCTTTGTGCAAATCCTGACATTTACACAGTGTGGAATATAAGGAGACAAGTTATTCTTTATTTTAAGACTGAAAAGTAAGTGTAGCTCACATTATTATTGATAAAATGTATTAAATTGATAAACTAAGCGTACATTATATAAACCTCACAGTTTGTCAGTATTGAAATATTTTAATTAATCATTTTTTTACTCCATGATTTGTGCATCTGTAGATCCTCTGAAGACTTCCAATTGCTATTGGAAAACGAGCTCCCACTGACAGAACAGTGCCTCAGGGCAAATCCAAAATCATACTGTGCCTGGCATCATCGTTCATGGGTTTTGGATACTATGCCTGTTCCTAATTGGAAAAGAGAATTAGCTCTATGCAATAAATACCTTGAGTTGGATGAAAGAAATTGTAAGCATAATTTCCAGTTAAAATCTGTACTGTAGTATAATAATCAAGAAAGTTACTATTGTGTCCGAGTTCACTGATCAAGTTGTTGCAAAGGGACTTAAAATAAATCTTAAAAAGTCATAATTTTCTTCATATAAATTATAATTTACTTAGTATATGATAAAAGTGATACCTTTTCAGCTTAGAATTTAAAACTTTGTATAAATATTGGATACAAGCTTCCTTCAATTTATGAATTTGCTTTCTTATAGCAATCACAATTTATAATTTTCTGAAAAATAAGAATTTGTTAATAAGATTTTTAGACAAATGGTCCACAGCAAAATGTCCACTGTAGAATATGTACATTAGTATTAATGTCCACTTTGGAGATGCAAAACTATTTGATCAAAGTTATTTATACATTCTTTGCAAAAATGTTCATTTATCTAAATGACCATTTTATAGATTTTATTTGACTTGTTGATTATGCAACTTCCAAATGGTGTACATACAGGTTCCCTATCAGAATGTTACACTGAGTAGTCTTACTATTTACATTAAGAAATTAAATTAAAGTAGTTTCTGAAAGTCACTATAAAATTACAATCACCCTAAAAAAATTAGCTGAAATAGGATAAACAGGCATTAATCGAGAATAGAATAAGTTAATGTGTAATTTTATGGTAAGAATTGCTAAGAAATGTCAGAATGTTTTTGGATGGTAAAGATTTGAGAAAATTATGTATGAATATGAGAAATTTGTCAGTGTATGATAGATTATGTATAAGATTTATTCTGAAAATTTACATATTAATGATGATGCTCCAAAAGTTTGGAATAGGAAGTTTATGAGCTAACAATTATTATTATTAAATTATCATTATTGTCCTTTATAATGAAAATAGTTCAAGGATTTTTAACCTTGTTGATTAATATGTATACACAAATAATATTACATACCTGCAAATTTTTGCAGGGAAAAATTGTTGTGAATTTGTTCTTCCAATATAGAACTGTTATCTTTTTACTAATGCAAATTAAGAATAACTTGATATAAAAAAAACAGTATTTTGTTTAAAATATAAATCTATTCTGCTTAAAAAATCTGTGACAGAAGAAATTAAGCATTATTCCAATTTTCAATCTTATTTGTGTGGTTCTAGTTCACACATGGGACTACCGGCGGTACATAGTCACTCAAGCACAAGTGCCTGCAGAAGATGAATTCATATTCTCAACTCAAAAGATTTCAACAAACTTCTCTAATTACTCTTCCTGGCATTATAGAAGTCGTTTGCTGCCGTCTTTATTTCCAGATCCACTTAATAAACGTCCTATCCGAGAAGATAAACACAAAGAAGGTAAATAGAAATTCATGATGTAGTAATAACTGTTATGAGTTTAGAATGAAGAGAAGAAGAAATTTAAAAAGTATGCCAAACAAAAATTTGTTATTCTTTAGACCTCATTCTGTGAGTATTTTGAAAGTGCACACATTCTGATATGTTTTATTGAATTTGCCACATTAATTTAAATAAGAAGTTACTATCTAAATTGCAGGTACTACATTATCCTATTTGTTTATACTTTTTTATTTAGTTAACCTGTATTTTGACAATAAAAAATAATGTTATGTTTCCTTTCAGAACTCTCTCTTGTACAAAATGCAACATTTACAGATCCTAATGACCAGAGTGCTTGGTTTTACCAGCGATGGCTTCTTGGTCGGGCCCATCAAAGTCTTCTGTTGGTGCAAGCATTTGTGTCAGAACAACTGACGTTTGCTGTTTTAAATAAGAGTGTGCGCTTAGATAAATCAAACCTCTCGCTGCAATTATTTATTTCAAATAATCCTATTAAAGGTTCATGGAAACCTTGTGGATATAATGTCGATTCTCATGTTTGGGTATCCTTTGAAACATTTGATTATTATGGAGGTGATTTTCAAATGCATTGAAATATTCATATTTTGGACCATCTTAAAATTTTTACTTGTTTTCATTTGCAAGTTTTAGGAAACATAAACAGGGGGAAAAATCAATAAAGAAACCACACACATTATCATTTGTTTGGCATTGAGAAGGAATATCATGACAAATCATGACCTCCAACAATAGACTAAATTTCTCTTATTCTACCTGCTGTTAAAGATTATATAGCAATGCCTTCCAAAGAAATCAAATTCAAACATTTCCCAAAAGCTTGAACTTTCGCTTAAGTTAATAATAAAGTACCTACTAAATAATGAAGTACTTGCAACTTTCTATAAGATAAAAACCTGTAATGAAGTAAAATGGTTTTCAGGAACTGCCAGGTATCAGCTTAGACAGGTTTCACTTTGTACCACACCCTTGCTCCCATTAGATGAAGATGGTTTATGATTATTATATCAGTGTGTGAATGTTTTTTGCATCCAATTTTATAAAATAAAATATAATTCCTTAACACGTCTGAGATTTTTGTACCAGAAAATCAAATCTCTTCAGGAAGCCTTACTTCAGGTTCTTTGGAAGTTACTTTACATCACCAAAATAAACAAATAGATCAACTTAACCTCCACATAAAAGGCCCTGGTGTTGAAGCTTGGGGTTCCAAGAAACCTCAATTTGATGCGCAATTCAGCCAGGGACTTACATCAGTCCTAGAAACGGAACTAGATTCGTATCATCAGTTACTTGATTTGGAGCCTGACAGCAAATGTACGTATTGGAAAGCATATTGTCTCAACAAAGTTTCTTTAAGCACTATCTCTATAACTTGAACTTTTCTGAATAACTTTAGGTTCTTTCAGGTACATTCATATTCCCACTTACTATGCATACTCCAATCTTTTACACGTAACATTGGAGTATGTGTAGTGAGTGGGAATATGAATACATCACATGTCGAACCTTGCAATATAGGGAAAACTGCTTTTTTAACCAAACATTGACAAGTTGATATTTGAATTTAGAAAAACAGAATATTAAAACAGGAAAGAATATTGTTACTCTGACCAATCACTTAATTTACATCACGTAAGCAACAGTAGAATTGACCAGAACCGAGTAGAATCATGAGAAATGTGGACATGCGGAATTAGCAAAGAAACAATTGAAAAACCAATTTGCACAGTACCATGTCAAAATTGCAAAAAACCAGAGGAGGTCATGACCAATTGCCGCATTGTTTACAAGCATTTAAATGTGTTTTACTTCCAGTACGGAATGAACAAGTGTATGGATACTATGATGATGGCTTGCTAACTGAATGAAAATGGTCACAATTATAGTGAGAATAATCTACATTTTTTTCATATTTATTGTGTGAAACAATGTATGTTATGAGTTGGGTCCCAAAAAATAGTAAATGCCAAATATACATCATCAGTTCGAAAAGTTCACAGACTGTTTGAATAGCGCGGCTCCAGTTGATTCCAGGAGAATTCACTTGATATCGCAAGGTTGTCATCATAATCAGCAGATCTGTGCCATTTCCCAATTTTTGATAACTTCATTTGTTTATTAGCAATGTGGTTTTTAATGAAGTGCAATTTTTGGGTTTGGTGGATTTCAAAATGAATGACCAGAAAGAGCAATGACTTGCTGTTAAATTTTGTGTTAAACTGGGAAAATCTGAGACAGAAACATTCGCTATACTTAACACGGCTTAGAGTGAGGCTGCTAAGAAGCGTATGGCATGTTTCAAGTGGCATGAACGTTTTAAAGATGGTCAACAGACTATTAAAGATGATGAGCGTTTTGGAATGGACAACCCACACCGACAAAATCAATACTGTTTTACAAACTAATTGACGTCTGGCTCTCAGGGTGCTTGCTAAAGAGTGTGGAATATCATTTGGATCTTATCATGATATTTTGACTGAGAAATTGAAGATGCACCACGTTGCTGTGAAATTTGTGCCACGCCTGATGACAGAGGAACAAAACGCCCATCGTGTCCAGATTTATCAGGAACTGCTGGATCGTTCAGAAGAAGATAAAAGGGTCTTGCCAAAGATAACCAATGATGAATCATGAGTTTGTGGTTATGACATTGGAACAAAGATCCAATATTCCCAGTGGATGGGTGAAATGGCCTCCAGACCCAAAAAAGCTCGCAAAGTTCGGTTCAAGGTCAAAGTAATGGTGACAGAGAGCATAAAAAAAAATATATCAATGTTGTTCACCACAAGTATTTCCCTGAAGGCTCCACAATGAACCAAAATTACTATATTGAAGTTCTGAAACATCTGAGGGATGCCATCCATCGCAGAAAACCAGAAATGTGGATGAGTGGAGACTGTTTTCTCCATCATGACAACGCTCCAGCCCATTCACTCCTAAGAACTCATGAGTTTTGGGCCAAACACTATCACTGCT